AGAGCTGAGGCAAGGTTTCCGGTACTGGAGGCCAGTATCAAAATCCTTGTGTGGTGGAACACCATCCTCTTGTCTCCACCTCCCAAGGGCTGGGATTACAGGTGTGCAGCACCACACCCGGCCAAACAAGGTTCCTAACAGCCAGAACCGGTTGAACCTGTTCCTTAGGAGAGAAATGCAAATTAAAATTACAGTCAGCTGAAAGACCTTTACGCATTAACATGACAGGAAAAAGCCAGCAGTGGCTGCTTTTGTCCTTTCCCTGCCACTTCGCTCTCCCAGGGCTTGGAAATCCAGAACCCTAGCACACATACACCTAAAAGCTAAGAATGTCCTTCTATTACCTGAGAACTACAGCCTAGAGTTCCCTGGTTTGCTGTTGTCCACGTAATTGATGTTCACACCATTCTATTAAGGCAATGCCTTGCTCTAGGATTTTCTTTTCTTCTGTGACTATAAAAGTTCGTGTGACCACTTTAACTTTGGCGCAGCGTAAATCTATGTTCCCAGGCAGCGGCCACTCAAATTTGACCCAAAATAACCTCTGTTACTTCCTTTGAGGCAAGAGCTGTGCTTTGCATCAACACTTCCCATGAGATCTGTTCCCTCCACACCCCTCAAGGAGCTTAAGTTGGGGAATGGTTTTAATTTACTCAGCGAATTTCCAGAACAGAAGATTCACAGAAACACAACGCCAAACAGAATGTTTTATGGTTGTACAAATGCTTCTGTGCTACTGCATTTATTTCTTCCCTCCTTTTAGCCATTCTTCCTTCCCAGATAAAGCTTAGACGCTTTTCCTAAGTCATGTGCTTGAGGGGGGAAAATGTGCATAAGACACAACTCTTTGGCTGACTAGTGTCTAGCAGCATGCACAAAGACTCTATTCTCTTCAGCACCACATAAACTGGATGTGGCACATGCCTAGAATCAAGCATTAGGGAGGAAGAGGCAAGAGGTCACCTTTGACTACATAGCAAATTCCAGGCCAGCCTGGGCTACATGAGACCCTATGTCATTCAGAGAGAAAACAAACAAACAAAACTCTAGAGGCTGGAGAGATGACTCTGCTGTTAAGAGCACTGTTTTGTCAGCTCAACACAATCTCAAATCACCTCTGTTGTGGTGTTGTGACTTCCCTGAAGTGATGGACTGAAACCTAAAACTGTAAGATGAATGAACCCTTTTTTTCTGTAAGCTGTTTCCATCAGGGTATGTGGTGGTTTGAATGAGAGTGACCTCCTAGGCTCATGTATTCCACTGGTTCCCAGTTGGTGAAACTTGGAAGGGTTAGGAGGTATTGCCTTGTTGAAGGAGGTGTCACTGAGAGAGGGCTTTGAGATTTCAAAAGCCTACACAGGCACAGGCCCAGTCTTTCTCCCCCAAACCCTCTCTCTGCCCACAACTTGAAGGTCAAATGTGAGCTCTCAGTCACTGCTCCATTACTGGGCCAGCCTGCCACCATGCTCCCCGCCATGATAGTCACAGACTAACCCTGTGAAACTGTTAGCAAGCCCCCAATTAAATGCTTTCTTTTGTAGGAGTTGCCTTGGTCAATATGCTTCATCACAGCAATTGAGCAGCAACCAAGACAGAAGTAGGTATTAGAAGTGGGGTATTTCTAAAGTTGGTATCAGAAGTGGGGTATTTCTGTTACAGGCCTGAACATGCTTTTTGGTGGAGAGATGTGGAACCAACTCTTCTCCCAACTCTTTATCTCCCACTTTGTCTACCCCACTCCAAAACTCCCTCCCAGATGTCCCGCTAACCCCAATTTAAGAAAGGAGTTAGAACAATGTAAAAAGGATATAGAATGTTTCATATTCCAATATCCCCAAAGACTGACCACACAAGATCCCTCCCTAGCCAATGTTACCCACTTATAGAGGTTCCCTTAGGGGATGGTGAAATTGGATTTGTGAATGCTCTCCTTATTAGTTTTCAAGTAGAAAGTCTTAAAAGAGCTTTAAACCTGTTCAAGATGACCCCTTTGGAGTATCAAACCAGTTGGATCAATTACCAGGCCTCCAGGTTTATACTTGGGGTGAATTAATATTAATCTGGGTATTCTTCTCTTAGGGGAAGAGAGGACGGTGATTAGAATGACTTTGAACATCACCTGGAAGAGGGAACACCTAGCTGGACCTACAGTCCTGGCAGTCAGGGCTAAATACCCTAGTCAGGATCCTGATAGGATAATACCAAAGAATCTACTGGGAACTTAGGAGCTTATCGTTAGGGAAATAAGAAAAATCAGTTTCCTGATATCAGACTATCAAGATTTTTAGTGCTAAACAAGGGAAAGATGAAGGTTTAACTGAATTCTTTGTTATTTTGAGGCAGGGTCTCTCTGTGTTGCCTTAGCTGTCCTGGAACTATTTTTGTAGACCAGTCTGGCCTCAAGTCACAGAGATTTACCTGCCTCTGCCTCTCAAGGGCTGAGGTTAAAGGCATGCACTACCACTGCCTGGGTTCCCAGCTGAACTCTTAAAGGACCAAATGAGAAAATATTCTGGATTAAAACTGGAGGATTCTGGGGCTGGAAAGATGGCTCAGGGGTTAAGAGCATTGGCTGCTCTTCCAGAGGTCCTGAAGTCCCAAGACCCACATGGTGGCTCCCAACCATCTATACTGGGATCTGATGCCCTCTTCTGTCATGCAGGTGTACATGTAGATAGAGTACTCATAAAATAAATAAATGTTTGAAAAAAATACATTAAAAAAACCTGGAGGATTTCTTGGGTCACAGGGCATTAAAGTTACATTTTGTGACCAACAGTTGGCCAGACATTTAAGTTACTAAAGATACAAAGCTGGAAGGGTAGAGACCTTAAAGATTTGCTTATAGAGGCCCAGAGAGAGTGTGCATGAAGGCATGAGGAAAAGCAGAAACAGAAAGCCAAGATCATGCTCTCCTCTGTTGAGCCAAATGCCCCAGTAACAGGAGCAAGGCTTAGGATCCCAACAATGTCACCATTTTGCCTTTCTGGCAGGGAGGTTTACAGCAGACCAGAAATGGAGGAGAAGCAATAAGGAGAGGAGAAAACCAATGTTTCAAATGTGGAAAGGAGACACTTGAAAAAGTGTCAATACTCAAAATGGAGAAAGGGTGATTACCCTCATAAAACTTAATGACGATTTGGGGAATCGAAGGCTCTATTTTTCCACTGAGAACTCATGAGAACATTTAAAGATAGTTCCTAGGAAGGAAGAAGTTGTATTTCTTGTTGATTTAATGGTATTCCATTCCTGCCTAAACATCTCCCAGAGCTGGAGAGATGGCTCAGAGTTTAAGATCTATAGTGAGATCTGGTGCCCTCTTCTGGTGCACAGGCACCACGTAGGCAGAATGTTGTATAAATAAACCCGACCTTTTCCCAGAAAAAGTGAAGGGAGAATTCTCTCTTCCTCTTTTTGAAAAAAACTACAATCAGTTCTCAGTCTAGGCAAATAGTAACACAGCTTCTTTGTATTCCGGAAGCAAGAACCAACCTATTGGAGAGAGATTTGATGTCCAAATTAAGAGCTGGACATGACCTAGGGATAGTGGCCACACCTGTAATCCCAGCACTCAGAAAGGCAGAGCCAGGCAGATCTACAAAGTGAGTCCAGGACAGCCAGAGCTACACAGAGAAACTGTCTTAAAAAAACAAAACAACAACAAAAAAATTGGACTTAACCTAATTCAGGATAAAATCAAAGTCTCCCTGCATTCAATGATTACCTGGGCTGAAAAAGAAATCAAGCCTAATGTTTGGGCCCAAGAAGAAAATCTGTGTGACTTGCAGGGTCCTCCCATCCAAATCAGCTTAAATACCCTGTAGATGTGGTCAAAAAGCCCTATCCTATCCTATTCCCTTAGAGAGAAGATTGGGGCTTAAACTTCTCACTGAGCTCATAAAAGACAGACTTCTTAAACGCTGTACATCCTCCTCCAATATCCCAGTTCTACCAGTTGAAAAGTACAATGGTTCCTGTCAATTAGTCTAAGTCTAGCAATTAACCAGATTATCAAAAGTAAACACCCAACACATACACCCTCCTTACTAAGACCCAACAGTGGTTCAGGGACACAGATCAAAAAGATGCCCTTTAGGCTTGCACCCTTGTAGCTGATAGCAGAGACCTTTTTGCCTCTGAATGGGAAGACCCCATTTTTTTTTTCAGATTTACTTATTATTTATACAGTATCCTGCTTTCATATGTACTTGCATGCCAGAAGAGGGCACCAGATCTTATTATAGATAGTTATGAAGTACCGTGTGGTTGCTGGGAATTGAACTCAGGACCTTTGAAAAAAACAGCCAGGGCTCTTAACCTCTGAGCCACCTCTCCAGCTCCAGGAAGCCCCCATTCTTGGAGAAAGCAACAGTATTAACAGGCTTCCGTGATTCTCCTAACGTGCTTGGTCAGATACTTGAACACATGTTGGACACCCAGAGGTGCCTGGTGATCTTCTCCCATCGGGGGACCGCCAGAGCGAGGTTATCGTACAGCTTCCTTGGCAGTTAAGGGTTGTGGGCATCAGAAGTATGTAATTTGTATAAGATGAGGTTATTCACTTGGGGAATGAAGTCAGCCAAGGCCAAAGGTCAGGGCCTGAGAGAACCAGCTGGGCCTTCTATGCTGTGCACTCACCGAGCCGAGTGCGGTGGCCCCCCCCCCCCCCATCTGCATGCAATGGTAAATGCTACACAGGCAGGGATGCTCATTTTCAATTACAATATGACTAGCAATCTCTCAATGTGTATTGCTTCCCAGTATTAATTATCTCCTTACTTGATTTCCTGTTTTGTTTTGGATAGGGTCTCATGTAGCCTAGGCTGGTCTCGAATTTGCTATATGTAGCTAAGGATGGCCTTGAACTTGTTATCCTCCTGCCTCCACCCCTGGAGCGCTGAAGTTAAAGGTGTCCATCAAAATACCCAGTTTTTAGTGCTAGGGATCAAACCAAGGGCAAGCGGTGTATTGAGTCACGCCTCCGTCACTACAGATTTGATAATTGTGTTTCACAGCCTTTTAATTGGCTTCATAAAGCCGAAGGGAACGGAGTAGAAGAATCAGCCACTGCAAATACAACATTAATGGCTTATTCCTACACCTTCCAGTAAAAAAGTACAGATAAACCTCATCAAGAACCGCCAGTGTCTGAGCTGACACTGGGGCACATGGCATGGCCGGTGTACAGGCTGGACTCAGGCAGCCCTGCGGCTAACTGGTGCCCATCCAACCGTACCTCGCTGAGAAAGATTATATGGAGTTGGAGAAAACCACAGCTGGCTCAACTTCCACAAGAAAGGTAGATTCAGAGTCTACTTGCTTTCAGTTCTCTGAGTGGAGGTACCTAACCTCCCAGGATAACCCCAGCAGACAGTGAAAAAAGGCAATACAACCAACATCCCCACCCCCCAAAAAAAAAACAAAACAAAAAAAACCAGTAAGAAACAATTCACACAGGTGTGTTGACAGTCTTAAACAAAACAGGAGTCACAGTAAAAAAAAAAAAAAAAGTAAAATATGAAATGCCTTTCAAAACTTTTTTTGAGACAGGGTCTGTGGCTGATCTAGAACCTCAAACTCACAGAGATCTACTTGTCTCTGTTGCTCAAGTGCCCGGCAAAACACTTAAAAAATAAAACAAGGCCAGCACTTCCTTAAAAAGAAACACTTAGTCATGAGGATGCCTGGGGTCAGCGGTAGTCGGGCAGTGTTGGCAGAAGAGAAATGACAAGCTCTGCTCGCTGCACGTGCCTACTTCAGCGAAGAACAGGAAGTCTTTACATTACAGCCACCAGGACAACCTCCAGCAGCAGCTTTACTCTTTGTAGCTGTCCTTGCTGCCACCGTGGGCACTAAGCTCTGGTTAGCACAGCTAACTGTGTTGGTGACTCCGTAGCCTCCACTCCTCGCCTCACGGTGGCTGCCCTCCCCCACAAACTTCCAGGTCTTCTCTACACCTAGAGAACCTATATTTAGTCCAGCCAGCCACTGGCAGAGCCACCCCGGTCCCCAGACTGTCGACATGCTGGCCATTCATGGCCACAGCTTGTCCTTAGCGTCATCAATACTCTCAAAGGTGACAGGCCAAATTCCCCAGATCTCCGGGTCTCTCTCTTACGGTCACCAGTGAAAAATGTGTTGTTATCTTGAAACCTTCCATCAGCTGCTCTTTAGTGTTGAAACTCGACCCTGTGATAAAGACCTGAGCTCGACCTGATGCTAAGGTGGCCTGCTGTGTTGAGTCAGTCAGGACCCTGGGCACGGGGGGGGGTGGTGGGGTGAGTAGACACAATAGGCCACATGGCCCCAGCCTCCTAACATGCAAGTCTGTTAGTTTATTTCATTTTCATTATGCCATCCTACCTAATGTAAAACAAAGTTTCTAAATTGTTTTCTACATTTATCACATTAAAAATGTCTGTCTGGAAAAATCTTTTTGATATGAATTAAGTATCTTTCAGATCCATCATTCAACTGTGGTTTCTCTCCAACACGAGTCACATGATGTTGAGTAAGGGGTGACACTCCACCACCAGCTTTACCTCCACATCCCTGGCATTTATAGGGCTTCTCCCCAGCTTGGATTTTCTGATATTCCATGGGTTGGGAGGAAGTGCTAAGAGTCTTCCCACATTCGTTACAATCCCGGGACTTTTCATCGCTTCGTATTGTCCACTGCAGAACAAGTTTAGCACTGTGGCTGAAGGCCCTGCCATGCCTCTCTCCAGTGGGCAGATGGCTGGGGTCATAAACAAAACCCGAGCCACACTCAAATTCCTGTGCGTTCTCGCCCACGTGAATCCGTTGGTGCTGAGTGAGGGCTGATCTCCGGCTGAAGGCCTTCCCACAGAGGCCACATTCATAAGGCCTTTCTCCGGTGTGTACTCGCTGGTGCAGGGTGAGCTGGGAGCTCTGGATGAAGGCCTTCCCACACTCGGCGCACTGATACGGCTTCTCCCCCGTATGCACTCTGCGGTGCTGCATCAGAGTGGAACTGCGGCTGAAGGCTTTGCCACACTCGTTACAAACATAGGGCTTCTCCCCAGTGTGAATCCTCACATGCTCAGTGAGATGAGAATTGAAGCCGAAGGCCCTTCCACATTCACCGCACACATAGGGCTTCTCCCCAGTGTGGACCCTGTGGTGAAGAAAAAGGCTGGAGCTCTGACTGAAGGCTTTCCCACACTGACTGCATTTGTGGGGCTTCTCTCCCGTGTGAATCCTCTGGTGCTGAATAAGGCTTGCATTCCGACTGAAGGCCTTTCCACACCAACTGCATCCATGCGGCTTCTCTCCCGTGTGAATCCTCTGGTGCTGAGTTAACTGAGGGCTCTGGCTGAAGGCCTTCCCACATTCATTACACTTGTACGGTTTCTCTCCTGTGTGTATTATGCGATGTTGAATAAGGCTTGAACTTCTACTGAAGGCCTTCCCACATTCATTACACCCAAAAGGCTTTTCTCCAGTGTGAATTCTCTGATGCAGACGGAGATAGGAATTGAGCCCAAAAGTTTTCCCACATTCATCACACTTAAATGGTTTATTCCCAGTGTGAATTCGCTGGTGAAGAATAAGATTTGAGCTGTGAGTAAAAGCCCGCCCACATGGACCACATTCATAAGGCTTTTCCCCAGTGTGACTTCTGCGATGCCGACTTAGGTCTGAATTATATTTAAATGTTTTACTGCATATGTCACATTTAAAGGTTCTCTGCCCCGTTTTATTTCTTTGAATTGTAACAACACTTTGTCTGTCAAATGCAGAAGTCTGGGTGTTCTCTTGACCTTGTTCCCTGCAGACTATAGAGTCCTTCTGAGCAACTCTCTTTGAACTGTGAGTAGCAGGGCTCCCATGGTTCCCTTCTCCCTGACCTCCATGGTCCCAAGCTTCCTGGGACTCAGATGTCTGTGAATTAGCCCTTAGGGATTTTTGTGATATTAATTCTGGGGTTTTTACTTCTTCTGAACATTTCTTGTTTAAAATGGATAGCTCCTTCTCGGTCTCAATCTCAGAATCTGTTAAACAGAAAGCGCAAATAAATGTCTAGAGAAACCCTTGTCAGCAGAAATCGCACCTTACTTTATGTTTCCATAAGTTATTATGTACCAGGTCTGAAGACACACACCTCTAATCCTGGCACTTAGGAGGCAGACACGGGCAGATCTCTGACTACAAGGCGAGCCCCGTCTATACGGTAAGTTCCAGGACAGTCAGGGCTACATAGAACCTTGCCTCGATAAACAAACAAACAAACAAACAAGAATAAAGCTATTAGGCAAAAGTCAGATCTGTCAGTATAAAAATATGACAGAATCCAGAAATAAAGATGGCCAACTAGCAGACCTAAGACAGAATGAATTCATTAGTCATCAAAGGAAGAGGAAGCCAAACAAACTGCCAGTGTTAAACTGTCAAATCAATTTATTCAACAAATAAAAGGCCAAGCACATTCTAGGTAAGGAACACAATAGGAAGACAGACACAGTCTCTGGTCTCAAAAAACCTTATGTTCTATTCAGGAAGACAGATAATGACTTGTTGTTTTTTTTTTTTTTGAATCAGAGTTTTGCTGTGTAGCCTCTGATGTCTTGGAACTCATGATCCTGTCACCAAGTGCTGGTATTAAGTCACATGCCACCAAGCTTGGGTTAGCAAGTACATTTTCAAAAAGGAATTGATAGGTCATGTATCATGGGCTCCTCCTGCTCAGTCATTGTGGTCAGAAAATCCCAAGAGGAACAATGGATCTGAAATAGTTAAGGGTGCCAGTCAGCAGTGGCAGACACTGACACAAATGCTGGACTGTGAGGAAGAAGGTATTGAGTCCAAGAAGGGTTGTCACAATGGACAGAATAAGAAAGAAGTGGGTGGCAAAGGTGCGGGCACAAAGGGCTGAGAAGACTGGACTTAAGAATCAATATATCACACACCCGTGGTCCCCAAATTACTCCTTAAGAATTTATCCTATGTGGACGCTCATATGCATCAGATGAGTGAGTACAGTACTAACTGGCATGCTTTTCATAACTGTGGGGAACTAAAGGCGTGAGCCATCACTACCTGGCTGAGGAAAAGTTCTTAATTACTGAGTCAGAACTGAAAAGTGGGTGTGGTGGTACTTACATGGACTCTCAGCACTTGGGAGATGCAGGCAGGAGGACCAGAGTTCAAGGTTCTCCTTGGCTCGAAAGCATGTTTGAGCCCACAAGACACTGTATCTCAAAACCAAAGCGAGGCCTGCCATATGGCTGAATGCGTAAAGGTGCTTGTGGCCATACCAGAAAACTTGAGTTTGGAACCTACTCCAGCAAGCTGTATCTGGCTTCCACATACATACTGTGGCACAATCCGCCTTACCTCCACATCTGCAACTTACATACATCAAATAAATATGAAACCTTAAAAAAATAAATGAAAGTCCAAAGGAAGACCGGAACAGTAGGAAGGAAAAAGTTTTTGGTGTTTTCGAGAGTGGGTATTGCTTACACAACTCAGGCTGTTCTCAAATTCATGCCAATCTTCCTGCCCCAGGCTCCTGAGTACTGAGATTAATACACACACATCACTATACTCAGGAAAGGAAAGAGAAAAAAGTTACCCTAATGATTTTTCATTATTTATATCGTCTCTTCTCTCATGGATGCATGCATTGCCTTTGTGCTTGCTGCCCTGAGAGGTCAGCAGAGGATGCAATCAAGGAACTTAAGTCCCTAGGGACCTCCATTCCGTCATTATCCGGTGCTATCTGCCAGATGGAAGATCTTCGAGCTAAGTTTCAGCACGGCGGGAGCTGTCCTAATTATAGTCCCAGGCTCCATTTCTCCTCTGCTTACATTACTATACAGGAAACGATAAACAGCAATGATTGATAAATTTCAATCATTGCTCATAAATAAGCTTCAAAAGGAAAAAAAAAAAAAAGCAGAGCTTACAAGAGTGGGAGAAAAAAAAATCTTTCAACTATGTAACAGACACCAGTTTATTACCTAGAATATACCAAAAATTGCAAAACTTAAAAAAATAAAACCCCTGAGACCATCCACATATTAAATGAGTTAATGAATGGAACAGACAGGTCTTAGAACAAACAGAAATGGTACCAGGAATGGTGGACAGATATCATAGCACTTAAGAAATGGAGGCAAGAGGATGAGGGTTATTCTCAACTGCAGTTTTTCATGCCAAACTGTGCAACCTGAAATTCTGTCTCAAAACAAAAATACAACAATACAAGCAAAAAGTGAATACAAATGGCCAATACTTGAAAGGTTGTTCAGTATCCTCAGTCAACAGTGAAATGTAAACAGAATGTGTTTTGAAATAACATCTCGCTCCAGAAAGGCTATCACCAGGACAACAAATGATTAATGCTGGCGAGTATGTGGGAAAAGAGTAACCCTTACACACCGCTGTTGGGAATGGAAACTGATGTATTCAGAACAGAGACCTGGCGTGATTTCTGTACTAAAAATCCTCAAAAATGCTAAGGATCTCTGTGAGTTTGAGGCCAACATGGTCTACAGAGAGAGTTCCATGACTGCTGGGCCTAACTAGACTGTCTTAAAAACAATGCAGTGGCACACACCTGTAATCCCAGCACTCAGAGAGGCAGAGGCAGGCGGATCTCTGTGAGTTCGAGGCCAGTCTGTTCTACAAAGCGAATCCAGGACAGCCAAGGCTCCACAGAGAAACCTTGTCTCAAAACCCAAAAATACTAAACAAAAACTAAACATCAATAACAAAACCACTAAAAATGCTGGGCATTTTAAATACATATGTACCAAACTCAACTTCACAAAACTTACTGGAATTACAGACACAGATTAACATCAATCTAATAGGTTATTTCAATACCCCAGTTTCTTCAATAGACAGGTCATCCTGACAAAAAAAACTAAGCACAGAGACCTCAGAATTAAATGACCATACATTAAACGGACTTAAGAGTAATATGCAGTATAACCCTGTCTTGTAATTCCAGGCTGTAGCAGCATGCCACAGATCCCAATCAACCCAAAGGAAACAAGGATAAACAACTAAACTCTATTGTGCCCTGTGGTTAAGGCAGGACACCAGGAAAGTAGGAATAAGAAATTAATTTTTAATGGATGACTGTCTTCGTTTACAGTATTTATTAGGACATTACCCCATTGTAAATCATGGACCATCTGCTCACTGTTTAAAATCATAATACTGTATGACGAAATTTAAAGTTGTGTGTGCATGTGTATACATACACACATATTACATATAGCTAAACTAAAGGATAGTAGGACATTGTAAAAGACAAGAGAAAGGAACAGAAATATAAAAGAAGTAGGGTATGGTGGTGCGCTTGGGAAGTAGACACAGGTGGATATCCGTGAGTTCAAGGTCAGCCTGGTCCAAATAGTGTGTTCCAGGACAGCTAGGACTACATAAAGACCCTGTCTCAAATCCAAACAAACAAACACCCCTCCCTAAGAAAAAAACAACAATAAAAATTAAAGACAGAGTGAATAGATAATGGGACCCGATAGTGTGCTATCTGGAAGACAGACACTTTAAATATAAAGACAGAGCTGAAATGAACAGATGGAAAAGATACTCCATGCTAACAAAAACAGCAAGAAGGCTGGAGTTGCTATGTCAGTATCTCCTAAGTGAGAAAAAGTCAATAGCACAGTTTCAAAATTGAGCTAGCAGACACTGAATAAATCAAAGGGAAAAATCTTGGCAACTAAAAAAAAAAAAAAAAAAAAAAAACAAAAAAACGTTAAAAACAAGTAACAAAAATCAGGAAAAGCATGGAAAATCTGAACCACACCATCAGCCTCATCAACTTAAATACATTGTACTATCCTGTGACTACAGAGCACTCATCTTTTTTTTTTCACATGGATAGTGTTATGCTCTGAATGAGAAATGTCTCCCACAGGCTGGCGTAGTTGGATACTTGGCCCCTATTTGGTGGTACTCTTTGGGAAGGTTGTGGAAGCTTTAAGAGATGGAGCCCTGCTGAAGGACTTCCTGTCCCCACCTATGTGTCACTCGCCACCTCCTTTTGCAGATGAAATATGATCACTCTGACTGCCAGGCTGGCCTCACTGCTGCTATGAGTCTACTCCATCATGGACTCTTATCTTCTCTGGATCGCCAAGCCAAAATAAGTGAATTCCTTTCTTTCTTTTCTTTTGTGTGTGTGTTCAATCACAGCAACAGAAAAATTAGTACTACACACACAGTAAGCTTACCAAGAGAGGTGAAAGTCATAACCACCTAGCTGTAGTGGAAGTTTTGGTTTCTTTAAAAACTCAGCTATGCTGAGTAAGCAGGTTTTTGTTTTAATCCCAAGTGTGGGATACGGAGCTGCTTCTAGTTTATCCACAGCTGGTAACGGCCCTGTGTGGCTTAGAAAGGGTTGTGGTCTTTGCCAACTGATAACAGCCTCCTGCAGGTCGGGGAGGGACATGGTCTTTGCCAGCTGGAGACAGTTTAACTCTGAGGACACGGAGAGGGTCTAAATACCAGAGCTAAGAGAAGCTTGGAGCACGAGGCTTCAAGGAGCGGGTTGGAGGAGGAGAAGGCTGCTGCTGGTTCGCCCTGCTGCTGCATTTGCTGTTTGCTGGACGGCTAGACACCCTGACGCTGAGACTGGAATTGACCCAAAGAACCTAAAAACCCTAACCATCTGGAAATAGCCAAAGAGAACTCCGCCCTCTCTCCCCATTAACCTTCTTCCTCTCCTACCTAGTGTCGGGGTGTTGGAAGGTATTAGGAGGGAGAAGGGAAGTAGAGGCATAAGGAACACTAGTTAAAATAGATTTAAAAAGCACAACGTCTAGCAAACATCAGACTGAAACTATACAGAGTTGTGTTGCTTGACCACAGTAGTATTACATAATAAATTAATGACAATAAGATAATGAGAAAGGCCGGTGTGGTGGTGTGGTGGCGCACGCCTTTAATCCTAGCTCTCAGGAGGCAGAGGCAGGTATATTTCTGTGAGTTCCAGGCCAGCCTGGTCTACAAAGCAAGTCCAGGACAGCTAGGGCTTGATACACAAAAAAACCCTGTCTCGAAAAAAATACAAAAAGAGAAAGAGAATTAGAAATAAAACAACTACTTAGAAACTCACACATGTTCAATGATTGATTGGGCCAAAGAACTGGAAAAAAAAAAAAGTCAGGTGGTGGCAGCACATGGCTTTAATCCCAGCACTCAGGAGGCAGATGGATCTCCATGAGTTTGAGGCTAGCGTGGCCTGCAGAACTAGTTCCAGGACAGCCACGGCTGCACACAGAAATCCTGTCTTGAAAAACAAAAAACAAACAAACAAAGGATATTTTGAACTAAACAGTAATAAAGCATATAGAAAATTCATGAAATACATGATGGAGCAGGCCTATCATCCTGGCTTCTCAGGAGGCCGAGGTAAGATCACAAACTCAAAGCAAGCCTAGAGTATAACGTGAGTTCAAAGCCAGCATGAGCAACTAAGACCCGTCTCAAAATGAAAGACACAGAAAGGGCTCAGGATATAGCTCATTGGTAGGGCACTTGCCTAGCATGCATGAGTTCAATACAGAGCACCAAAACAAAACAAAAACAAGCATTTCAGTAGTGAGGAGCACATGCTGCAGAGGACCTGAGTTTGGGATCCGGCACCCTCGCTGGGCAGCTCACAGGGCCTCTAAGTCCAGGAGAACTGATGCCCCTGACCTCTGCAGTCACCTGCGCTACAGTGCACATACACGAAAGTAAGATCTGCGAAAATGTGAAATGTCCTCAAGGCTGTACTTTCATAAAGCCTCGCTATAAACTTCTTTAAGAAGAAAAATTACAAATCAATGATCTAAGCTTGCCCAAGTTTAGAAAAAAAAAAAAAAAAAAAGACAACCTGGCTTCAATATAGGCAACTTCAAATGTGTAAAACTTTGGGGGTGTATTATTCAAAAGAGCCTCTCTGAGTAAACCACTCAGAAGTGACGATGCATTCATTTTTGGTAGAAGGGACCAACAACTCATAAAGGGTCAACAATTGATGTCCCTAACTCACAAAATAAAATGCCGGCAAATGTGAGCGCACGACTGACAAACAAGAACAGCAGAAAACAAAGTGAGCCTTGGTGAAGCAGAATCAACAAACGGAAGAACGCATTAAAAGGGCCAGGCGTGGTGGAACATACCCTATGATCCTAGCGCTACACGGGCAGAGGCAGGAGGATGAGGAACTCAAGGCCAGGCTCATCTACACAAGGCCAGCCCTAGCTCATGAGAAGGCGGAGGCAAGGGGAAGGGAGGGGACCAAAGGGACCCTATAAAGAGCACGGAGGATTCAAGCAGGGTGGCACGTACTTGCGGTCCCAGCTACTATGGAGGCTGAGGCCCCAGGAGGGGTGACTTGAGCGCAGGCGCCTGAGACGCGCTTGAGCACCGTAAAAAGACCTGGTCTCAAGAAAGAGAAGAGAACAGGAAAGTGACGCTGGCCAAAATTGAGGGTTGAAGAGGAAGAGCTCCAGGAGAAAGGGGTACGATACGGAGCCTGTAGCTAGTGTGAAGAAAAGAGAAAGTATATTCTATTAAAAAGTCAATGAAGGTGTGTAAAAGAACAAAACATGTTAAGGACCAGAAGCTACAATTTTTGCTTTTTTTTTTTTTTTTAAGGCAAATGGACCGGCAAAGGAAAACCTTTCATGCACGTTCATAGAGCAGCTATGTTTCCGTTCACAGAGGGCTGGACTATACACCATCACTGATCTGCTTCCCTTCTAGGCCTCACTCCAGCCACCATGGGCAGGACCGTTAGCCCATTCCTGAGATCAGCCTCTAGCTTATGCTCACCTGTCTGGCAACTTCTCAAGACTTCTGGCTCTTCGGCCCCCAGAAGATCCAGGACCCACAGCTCCTCCTCTTGCTCCAGCTGGGAGATCAGCTCTGGCTTAGGGACTGGGAAACCTGTTAAGGGTGAGGACCCTGGGTGAGTTGCCTGCAGCCTTGGGGGGGGGGGGGGGGGAAAGGGGGGGGTGGAGCAGGAACCTGCCTGCTGGGTCTTCCACACAAGACAGAGTAATTGTACACTGGTCAGGGGAGGCCAAGGGACAAGGACTTTCAATGCCTAAGATGGGGAAAGGGATGGCACTGTGAGGTCACTGGCCACAAGGAACGCAGTCCCTAGAACTAGGCAGACTGGTACCTGCGGACAGGAGCAGGATCCTCGTTTCATTGAGAATCAAAGATCCAAATCGGCCCAAAAAGTCCCTTAGAGCATCCCCACAGTGAGCCAGGACTCCAGGGCAGTTCTCACCCAGCGAGGCCACGTTCCCATAGTTCTCCAACATCACATCCCGGTACAGCGCCCGCTCCTGGGGGCCAAGCTGCTGCCCTTCTGCCCTGGAGAAGTACACAGCCACATCCTGGAAGGTCAGAGGCATCTCGCCCTGGAATGACAATATGCCGAGAGTGCACCAGGGGCGTGGCTTCTCGATCTGGGGTAGCAGAGCTGAGACCAGTGGATCAGACAAGGACTAACTGAACACAGAGCGCTATCCCCATAAAATGTTGTCGCCTGCACCCTGACCCTTTCCAACTTCACTATCTGCTCACCTCACAGCTAGCTTGTGACTAGGGCAGCAGGGAGAAAGAATAACTCACCGGAGCCCGGGAGCAGGACTTGGCAGCCATCTGGGAACCACCTTGGAATCCGAGGTAGGCAGGAGGCAGCCCCGGCCTGAGGCCTCCCCAACTTACTCTCAGGGAGAGAAAACAGACAAACTCAGCCCCCCTCTGCTGGGGCAGTGGACAGATGGTCAGAGTAAGGCGACAGACTTGCTTCTGAAGTGGCCTTCTGGAGTGTACTGAAGCCGTGAGAGCCAGAGTGTGACCTGTCCCGTGCTGCTATCCAAACTGAGAACTGCCCCAAGCGCGGGCACATGCTGGCAGTTCCAGCCACGCACCAGCACACCAAGAGTGGGTGCATAGCACCGCCTGAGCCTTAGAGGGCCAGCCTGGAAAAGGCTGCGGACCTCACCGCGGTAGGCCTCGCAGGGTTGAGGGCGTTGAGTGGACACGAACTAGCAACGAGGGCTAACTCTGGGCAAAAACCTAAAGGCCATCGTCCTTCACATCCCTGCCTCCCAAGGCCGCGTCGCCGCCAGCGGCTCGTCCCTCCCACCGCTGGGGGGCCCGTGTGGCCGCGACCGCTGCCTCCTCCACTATCCCTCCTCCCAGGTGTCGCGGCATCATCAGCGCCCTTGGCCAGAAGCTGAGGCGGCCAGCCCGAGACCCTGCCTGCCGCCTGTCTGTCCTTTCCCACCTGCAAAGCGACAGGACCGCGGGAGCCTCACCTCGGCCAGGGCCCTCTGGACCAGCCACCCACCTACACACAGCCGGCCGGCGCTGAAGGGGCAAGCCGACTGCCAACCGGGGGCGGAACAGCCACGCTGCGCACGCGCGGCTCCGGTCGCCGCGCACTTCCGGAGCTGCTTTAGGGTCTCAGGGACCCGCGCCCCTTCGCCCGGGCTGGGCGGGGCCCCGGGATGCTCACCGCGCTGCTGCCAATGCTAGCGGAATCCGCGCTCTGTCTCCTCCAGATGAGATCTGCGCCGCGCTGCTATTTCCTCCCTGTCCTAACTAAATCGCAAGTAAAGCACAGGTTAAGTAACTTAACTCCCCGGCGAGGGTGTTTGTGGCATGCCTGTGATCCCAGCGTTTGGGAAACTGAGGCCAGAGGAAGCGAATTCCCGGGCCAGCGTGAAACATACTGCAAGAACCTGTCTCAAGAAAGCCGAACCAGCCGGCTTAATTCCAGCACGTGAGAGGTAGAAGCAGGAGAATCTCTGAGTTCGAGACCAGTCTGGTGTCAGAGTGAGCCAGGACAGCCAGAGCTATGTAGAGAAACTCCGGCTCAAAAAAAAAAAAAAAGAGATAGAGTCGGCCAGGACAAAGAAATACTGTTTGAAACTAAAGACTATCTTTCATCCGAAATAATTCGCACACCCTGCTCGCAAGCCTGAGCAGATTGGACAGCGAGTATTCTTCACTGCTGAGCTATCCTCTCCAGCCCCCAAATTTATTGCCACAGTGTAATGTTTTTAAAAGATGTGGAAATTGTTGGAAAAATCCGTCATGATGTAATCTCAATTGTACCTGTGGGCGTTTAAGCCAAATAGAAACTAGGCCTCTGTTTCAAATGGACATTATGTAGCCCTGGCTAGCCTTGAATTTATACGGTTCTTCTTCCTGGGTCTCCTGAGTAGCCTCCCGGCTACAAAGCTTCCTTTGATTCTGTTTCTGAACGTGCAGGTTTTTTGTTGGTTTTTTTTTTTTTTTTTTCCTTCTTTCTCAGTACTGCTGGCAAGTGACCGAACAGTTTCCAAAACTGGCAGTGTATTTTATTTGATGGTCATGAACAGAGAGTTGGCGTGTATCCCCTTCTCTCAGGGCAGATCGAAGGCCTGAATCTTTGTGCGAAGCGGAAGAGACCAATTGTTAGATAGTGATGTGTTGATTTATTGAGTGGTTTACTTAAAGCGCTGCTTGTACTGCCTAATTGCTACCTGAAACAGAATATGGCCGAAATGATGGGCCGTTGTCCTTAAAAACCTGCTTACCTGCCCCACGTTGTGGCTTTAGAGATTTAAGTGAGTCTTCAAAATGGGCCCAGGGTGGAAGTCTTTCAGGAAATGTCCTGTCTTCACTCAATATGTGACATCTGTCTTCCATTCTCATTGGTGTCAGAGTGCTTATTCCGGAAGGGTTCCCACAACAGCCGCTGCCTTTTAAAGACAGGCTTTCACTGTCTACCCCATGTTTTCCCAGAATTCACTCCCTCAGGCTGGCCTTGAATTTGTGGCCATCTTCCCACTTCAGCCTCTTGCCCATTGCTAGGATTACAGGCCTGCGCTGGAAGGCTGACCTCAGGCTTTGACTGGGGGTGGGTTATATGGATTGTGGTATGAATGCTGTCATTGACATCTCAAGAGTTTTGTTTTGAGACAGTTTTACTGAATAGCCCAGACTGGTGTGGAATGCTCAGTCCTGCCTTGGCCTCCTTAAGTACTGTGATCACACAAGTAGGACCATACCAGCTATGTCCTAGTTCTTTGTGAAAGGAGAGTTTTCAGGAACCCGGGTACCACCTTTTTTCTTTTTCTTTGTTTCTTTCTTTCTTTCTTTTTTTTTTTAAAGATTTATTATGTATATAACATTCGGCCTGCATGTATGCCACCAGCAGAGGGCACCAGATCTCAATGTAGATGGTTATGAGCCACTAATGTGGTTGCTGGGAATTGAACTCAGGACCTCTGCAAGAACAAACCTCTGAGCCATCTCTCCAGTCCAATACCACCATTTTTTCTATCCTAATTTGGTAGGATCTCTCAAGGAACCAGTGGACGCTTTCCATCATTATGATGACATTATATTATAGCTTATATCGTATATCTTCCAAGTGTTAGATGTCCTCCAGATGTCTGATATCTCCCGCCCCTCCTACCCCAGCACTCCTGCACATTTGGGAGTATGTATTCACTTAGTTGTTGGTGGCTGAAAGCATGTGGTCACTGGAACAGAGCTTGACCTGCTTCTAGCAAGCAGCACCTGTAAATAAACAGAAATGAATAGAAAAGGCCATTGTAAGTGTGGGGCTCGGGCTGGTGACAGTGTTTCACTGCTGGGCCACCAGCCTTTCAACAGGGCCTGTGTTCACTGTTAAGTCAAGCAGGCACCTTTTAGGGAAAAACTACTATGTTGACACAACATAGTATCAATAAGTGCCCTTTCCTTTTCATGTTTTTCCAGGTAGAATTTATGCAAACTGGGGCTGAAAAGATGGCTGCTTAATTACTACTTTTGAGACTTTGTGTAGCCCTGGCTGGCTAATAACTCACAATGTAGAGCAGGCTGGTCTCAGACTCACAGAGGTCCACCTGCCTTTGCCTCCCGTGTGCATGTGCGGGAATTAGAGGCATGGGCCACCACACCCAAATCTTCATTCTGATATATCTTGGCTGCGGTTGTGTTGGTTTTGCACTTGTGCAAGTGGGAACCCATTACACATGAAGAGTGTCTGAATAAAGACTAAAAAGAAATGTATCATCCTAGTTGGAAGACCGTAGCATGTCCGACTTTCTCGTTTTCCCTTTGCAAATGCCTGTGTTGGTAGCTACAGGCATTCCTCCTGACTGGTGGATTACCAAGTCCCAAGCAGCCAGGCTGTCCCCAAACGGCAATGTAGTCATTGATGGCTCTGTTTAGCATTGTTACTACCTTAGCTGTTCAGGGGACTTTACTGCATTTCCGATGATTTGGTCTGTAATGAGTACAAAGGGTGCAGACTGTTTCTTCTCCAGACAGCGAAGCAAGCTTGGCATGATTGACAGGCCACCTGTTGCTAGGCTCACAGGGTGGCAGGATCAGTTCAGGTCATGTGTTGCTAGGATGCTGAGGCACCGGCTCAGACACATTGTGGCAGTTTAGCACCACCGAGGAGAGCTGCAAAGTCCCAGAGTCCCCCGGAAATGGGGCTGCTGCTACTGTTGCTTGTTTTGACTCTGAAGGAGTCCCAGGCCCTTCATTTTAAAGTCAGAACACTGATGCTTACTCCTTGTAGCCTTTGGGAAAATACCATGGCAGAGCTGTTTCTGACACTGGTGACCTCCTGGTTTCTAACACTATGAGAGAGATACTAAAGAATTAAAATCTCTCTAGAAATTTCTATGCTAGGATAAGAATAGCCTGTGGAAACCCTGGCACCAAAGTTTTTGTTTTAGTTTTGGGAGGTGGTGCTGCCTACGTGCTCAGTTTTACAGTCTTGCTGGCCTTTTCATCATGGAGTCAGTTGTGCTAAGGTCTTAGGGCCTACTAAGGTCTGGGGCCCTGTTATAATGGAAAGCAGACCAGTAAACAGTATTCCTCCATGGGTTTTGCTTCAGTTTCAGACTCCAGTTGCCTGCCTTAGCGTTCTTCAATGATGGGCTGTAGCTTGTAAACAAAATTACTCTTTCTTCCCTAAGTTGCTTTTTGTCAGTGTTTTATCACAGAAACAGAAAGCAAGGTAGTTTTTTTTTTTTTTTATTAGACATCTTCCAGGCCCCAAACCTTTATTTAAATATTTATTTTATTTTTAAATAAAATAAACATGTTTAGTCCTCTGTACGTATGAGCAGAGTCATGTGCAGAGTCCAGAAGAGAGCCTCGAATCCCCTGGAGCTTGAGTTATAGGCAGTTTCAGGTGTCTATAAGACTGGTTGACCAGTAAGCCCATGAGATCATCTAGAGACCATCTCTGCCTTCTAGTCCTGGGCTTACAGACACCCTTGGCAAGGCCTGGTTTTGACATGGGTGCTGGGGATCTGAAATTAACCTACCTGGGTGCTGGGAACTGAACGTGGGCCCTCTGTAAGAGCAGTACCTGCTCCTAACTGCTGAGCCATCGCTCCAAATCCCCAAAATCTTTTCTTAATAAACTCCGACTTGCTTCAGACTGACACATCCTGAAATCTTTTCTCTGTTAACAACAGCCCTATCTTTGCTTTGGTTTGGTTTGATTTTTTTTTTTTCCAGACACGGTTTCTTTGTGTAGCCTTGACTGTCCTGGACTTGCTTTGTAGACCAGGCTGGCCTCGAATTCACAGAGATCTGCCTGCCTCTGCCTCCTGTGCTGAGATTACAGGAGTGTGCCACCACACCCAGCTTAACAGCCCTATCTTTAATGTTTAAATGACATTAAAATTTTTATTTTATTTTTTTTGGTGTGTCGGAGAGAGAGGTGTGTACCATAGCTCTCATGCTACAGTTTGTGTGTAGAAGTCAGAGGACAGTTTTCAGGAGATCATTTTCTCCTTCCACTTTAAGTGGACAAGAGTGCAAGTTTTGAGACCTGAGAATCACTCAGGAGTCAGTTAAGTCCTTGCACTATGTAGGTTCTAGGGATCAAACTAAAGCTCTGTTTTTAAGTGCTTTTCCCTATCTCATGCACCTCATTCTTATCTTAAAAACTACACATGGTAGCTCACGCCTATAGCCTTAGCCTTGTATAGCTCAAACAAGAGGACTCTGCAAGTTTAAAGGCCAGCCTTGGCTATCTAGTGAGTTCCAGTCCAACAACAGAGTAGGATCCTATCTCAGCCAGGTGCAGTGGTACACACCTTTGATCCCAGCACCCAGGAGGCAGAGGCAAGCAGGTCTCTGAGTTTGAAGCCAGCCTGGTGTATAAATCAAGTCCAGGACAGTCAGAACTATAAGAGAAACCCTGTCTTAAAAAAAAAAAAAAAAAACAACAACAACAACGAAAAGACCCTATCTCAACTTCCACCCCTCATAAATCAAGCATACAAAGTCATTTGTGTCTTATTCGGCCAAAAGTAATTAAAGTAAGGTTACCTGAAACTAATTGCATGCCTTCTGACTTT